ACACTGCAAGCTCATACTTCACTTTCTGGTTTGGAGCGAAACTCAAAACAGTTGTGGTTAATTTCAGTTTGAGTTTTTCACAATAACTCACTCTATAAATTTCAGCTCAACTACGAAATCCTTATTTTAGGATATCAATTATTTAATGCAGTTGGAGCGCTACGCTGATTCTGACTGAACGGTAAGGTAAGAAATAACATCGATTTTTCGTTTTCACAAAAAGTTTGTCTCGAATACTGATTATTCATAATCGTACTGAAATATAACATAAATCATATCTTTTTAGAGCATTCAAAACTATGTATATTGGTGATGATTAGAGTTCTTTTAGCCTGTGTACATCCGTTTCTCACCCCTCAAACACAGGCTAAGTTCTTTTTGAGCGTGTAGTTACTGAATTATTTGCCATTGAATGTTGGTGATATTTGCATGGTAAACAATGTATGATGCGGATGCTACTAAAAGGGTCTGAGGGAAGAAAGAAAAATAAAATACTTTCGAGAATCTTTATAGATTAACAACTTTTACAATCTTTTACCCTGAGCCTTCGTTTTCTTAGCCTGTGCCAATTGATTGGTTCTTGAAATAAAAACAAATGTCGCCGGAAGTGGATTTACACCCTGCAGGACAACATTCGAATTCATGATTTATCTCGATTTATTATTTAGGCGCACTCTGATTGGCTAATTTCCGGTCTGATAATATAGTAAAATTCAGTGGATGACGAGGGAATTCTGCAATGAATTTCACGAGGATATCGTACGAGTCGCGAAGCCCCAATAGATTGCAGAAAATGAAAACATCCAGAAACACCAAATTGAACCCCCTTAAAGATTCCCCATCACGTTAAGTTTGCTATTCCGGGTTGAATAGGTCTATGTCGTATATTTTCCATGTAAAATGACTGAACTAAAAAAACAATTGGCCTCTCTAACACGAAACATTAAAATTTCAGGCCTTATAACAGTAACAGTGGCCGTAACAGTTGTTGTGAAAACAACGAAAAAATCTGTTCCAGATTGGTACAACTATAGAATACCCCGCACCTCGGACAACTTACGCGTAGCTGGCTACGCGTTGACGCGTAGCCGCCTTACTAATAGACATTTTTTTTGGCTTTTGGCTACGCGTCAACGCGTCAACACACAGGTATACCATAAGATCATTTTTGACGCGTTGACGCGTTGACGCGTAGCCACTTCATATCAGAATTTCTCGTTCTTAAAAGATATCTATAAGTGTATACACACAGGTATACCATAAGATCATTTTTGACGCGTTGACGCGTAGCCACTTCATATCAGAATTTCTCGTTCTTAAAAGATATCTATAAGT